TCAGGAGGCGAGATAATCTCCTTGTGCGGCGCTTGTTGTTTTCAAACCTTTAGGAGCTAAAATCTCGCATTTGATTTTAAGAGGAACACATCCACTTTGAGCGAATATATAGGGTATGTAGATTTGACCGATTTTCGTGAAATTTTGCCAAAACATCGCTGGGATGATGACAAACAAAAGTCACTGGATAAAATAATGGATTTGACCAAATTTGGCTCTAGGTCAAATGTGAGACAAATCTGACTTTACATTTGTCCAGTTCTCAAAGACGTCAAATGCGTGACAAATATGTTATCATATTTGTCCCTGTTAAATGTAAGACAAATACTGTTTGAATATGAAGCCATATTTCATTCAAGGACAAATATTAGACAAAACAGACAAATATGTTCGACGTCATACGAACCCTATTTCACCCCACGGAGACGTTTTTTCACTCGCATCCCCCCTTGTATGATCTATTCAGTTTCTCTACTTTTTATCTCTAAGGAGATCACTCAGATTTGGGCATTCTTTGTCTGGATCAAAAGTGTGATTTTTACTAAAACAAACTGAATATTGGTAGAGGCTCGTACAAGGAATTGTGTGACTCGACCTGTGCAAGCCATACAGTTGCCTGAACTGATTGTTGAGGTGCCGCTATGATCAAAATTTCGCATTGCCTTTTCTTTCCGCTTCTGGAAACTAGAAGTAAGAAACACTTACCATGCCGAGTTTAATCGCAAAATTCGCACGGGAAGTTTGATTATTTCAACCTTGTTTTTCGGTTTTGGTCGCCCGCCATTACTCTGATTCAAAAATCGCCGAGTGGGGCCAAAAGAGGTGGCACTGGTTGGAGCCTTTCGGAAGTGACGTCATATGCGCAGCTCGACAAACCAACGTGGCTAATTTTGTATGCCATGTCTGAGAAGTGAGAGGTATTTGCAAAGCATAATTTGCGAGCAGAATGCTTCCAAGGCGTTGTGTCGTGCAAGATTGCGACAGGGTGGCCGACAAACAGTTAGGAATATCTGTCCATACCTCTCCTGGTACAGGAACCGAGCGTGCCATGTGGAAAAGATTCGTCAGCCAGCATAGAAAGCATTTTAAGCCCAAAGGGACATTTGGCATTTGCTCACTTCACTTTACCAACGACTGCTTCACTCGTTCGGTACATATAAAAGGGACAGAGAGACGACTAAAGCCGGGATCCGTCACAAGTATTTGGAAAAAAGGATCTGTTTCCCTTAGTGAAAGAACTCGTCGTCGGGTGAGTTATATTCGTGGATTTCTTAA